GGACCGTCTTCTACACAAGAAAGTTATAGTTTCTTTCGTTCTCACTTCTTTTACTCCAGTCAATAAAGGGCACACTATTACTTTAGTCTATGCGAAGAAAATAATATATTTTGCCTATCCTGGTATTCAAAATTTCGCAAGAGATATACAACTTAGTTTATCTTCTTATTTTAGGTTTTATGTCTCAATCACACTAATCAAACATATGCACTTTGCGTTTTTAGACTTGGGTATTGGCAAGTATTTGAGAACATTCTGATGTATGGTACCAAATCTAATGTTTGGTGACCTTGATTTCTTCTATAATAGGTTTCAACACACCGAGCTGCTCTCAAGTAAGTGTTGCAAGATTTAATGTTTTGGATGTCTAATTCTACAAGTTTCTCCCTACATGTTAACTCGAAGAAATTTGCTTTTTGGGTATGTTAAAGGCATGTTATATCTCTTACATACATCATTGTAGCCATGATGGAAATTGTCTAGGAAATGTACATGTTGGCTCGAGGAATCATCATTCATTACAAAGCTCTCAAGTGTAATCAGAGGTTGCTTTCTCATCTATCAAAGATGATTTAACAAGAGAGCATCCCCAATTTTTCATATATCAATCATCCCGGCACTAAAGTACATCCACACAGGTATTCCATTTCTTTTGGTCTCTGACTTTTAGCTTCTTCATCATTCAATCTCTCTTTATGTGTATATATTTCTGTCTAGAGATCACTGACTTCCACAGCTTATAGCGTATTTCAGATCGTCTTTTAAAGCTTAACTTTTACTATGCTACTCCGCCCACTGATGCACTAGATTGGCTTCATACGGTTTCCTAATATCTCACTTAATTTTCTCCTTTAGAATTTTCGTCCCATCGAGATTTCTAGAGATTTTAGTCTATTTAATAATTTATGTACCTCCGTTGTTGCACTTGCAGCTAATGTAGGAAGGGTTCATTCAGTGTTAGCCTTACAAACAATATGTTTGCACAGATACTGTTCTCTTCCCATAAACTAAGTTTGCATATTTTCAAACCTTATTCTCTATTAAATTTACTGAACTATGTTGGCAAAGTTAGTATAGAGCTCCAGTGCTTTTATCATTCCAAGCTGCTTCTCTATATAAACCTTATTTTAATTTGTGTATTATTGCGAGCTAATTTTAGTGGATTTGGATTTGTAGTATACACCCACCATTGATATATGGAGTATAGGCTGCATCTTTGCTGGAGTATTGGTGAGAAACCCAATTTTCCCTGGAAAGAGGTTCACTAGATGGATCTTATGACTGATCTTCTGGGAAAACCTTCCATGGGAACCATCTTTTAGGTACTGATCTTCTTCTTAGACATAAGGTTTTGAGGTTCTGCAAAATATTAAACGCATGGACAAATGACGAGTACCCTGATTTTATAATATTATACATGTAAGGAATGAGAAGGCAAGGTAGTCTTACAAGCCTGAAGAAAAATCCACATATTACCTATCTTACCTACAACTCTGCTATGTTGAGTCAACTTGATTTTGCTGTTGATCGATATTAACTTTCATGAAACATAGTCTCTCAAAGGAAGGAAACATGAGGCAATCAAGTTAGGAGTAGACTTCTCTTCTTTCGTAGTGCAGGCATCTCAAGGGCACTTCTTCATACCGAAGACAAAATATTTGCAGATTGTGAGTGTCTATGTTGTATGGTATGGTTTTAGATTCTTTGAGGAAACCATGTAAAAGTCTTTGGTGGTTAATTGTTTTCAAAGACAAAAATATATTCTAAAATGTAGAATGCTGTATCAAATTACAATAAATCATTATGTCATGTTGCGAGCCAAAGGGTATGGCTAGCTGATATTGGATTAGTGGTCTTCAACTAAGATACATGATCTTTCGTATTATCAAAACTATATATTACCTTTTTAAATAGTTATTGCACACGGATTAAGAAAACAATAAATTTTACATGTTTCTTATATAAAAACACAATTACATAACCACATTTTAACTAATATAAAAATAAATTACTTAATAAAATTAATAAATTTTGCATTGAAAACCGAAAGCGACACTTCTTTTGTAACGAAATTTTTTTTTACGACACTTAATATGAAAGGGAGGGAGTATTATCAAACAAGTATTAAAAGGTGAATATAAAGCCTTGTGATGCTATCTACATCATTAAAAATAATTGGCCAATCACGACATTTTCTTTCGCCACGTGAGCATCTGAATTTCGGTTTGGGTTTGTAGTTTTTTGGGTCTGTTAGATTTAACTTCTTTGGCCCATTTCTCCCACTAAAAGGGGAAATTCTAAAATAAAGTGAGACGGCATGGGATCTTTCGTTTTGTTCTTCGGCGATCTTTTTCAAGTTGATGAAATGTCCATAAACTGAAACGCCATTCCGATCACCATAACGCAAGAGCCTTACATTAATATGTGATCAACTCTGACTTTGCCCATGATTATCCAACTACTCCACTGGGAAGCATTTAAAATCGGCCTCTTTGAAAATTTCTTCGGCTTTCACTTCTCTCATGATGATTTTTATTTATTTATTTTGTATTGTTTCAGATTGGGTGCTTCCTTCCCCCTTTCGAACAAACAGCGAGAGTGGCTGCAACGGCAGAATTCGAGTTTGCATAGCGATAAGCACTCGGCAATGAAGAAAGCTCATTCCCTCGCGTTTCTCTGCATCCAATTCCTCAAGATTCAGCTTTTACAAAGTCACAATACAAGATATAAAAAGGTCCGAATAAAAGCTCTCTTGCGCCAATTTGATACTGATTTGAGTTGGTGATTTGTGTATTCCCAGGCGATAATCCGGTTCCTGATATGTACGACTTTCCATCTGAGTTTTTTGATGGTGTTATCTCTCACTTGCATGCATTAGCCTTGCATAATTTCCAGATCCACATGTGAGTGAGTCCGATACTTGAAAATATATATTCGAGAGACAGAAAGATCATAGACAACGATTTTGTAACATTACATAATTTAATATTGTGAAGAACTAGAAAAGAAGGAACCAAATCGATTATAATATGTAAAATCAATGAACTTTAATTAACTTTAGTGTACCAAGTGTTTTGGCTGCAACTGCAGGCATAGTAATCTTACAAATATTTTAAAGTAAATATATTAACAGTTCAAAGAAAATTTAAAATAAATAACTATTTACAATTCAAAATATTTAATACAAATTAAACAATAAACATTTTATATATACATTTTATATCGTAACATAAATATTTAAACTAAAAATACTCATGCTTTTGAAATATTTAATAACAAATTAAATATTTAATTTTCTTACATATGGCAAAGTTTTTCTATATAATAAAAATTATATTTTCTTGAGTAAAATAGATTTGAAAACATTAATATAAATAAAATTTTACACAATATATACATAGATTTATGTTTTATAATTTATAAATATTTTCTTAAGAAAATATAATTTAAAATATTTTTTGAATAGCACAAAATAAAATATTTTTAAACAATAATAATTATCAAATCAATGAATTTGTTTTAATTTATTTTTAATATATTTTTTTAGATAATGATAATTACCAAATCAATAAAATTCATTTAAAATTTATGGTTAATTATAGATTAATTTGCATTTAGTTTATGATTAATTAATATAAACTATTTTAATATACATATACCATATGCGTTTAATTAATAATCTATTTCTTACATTATTTATGATCATTTATGCTATTCTTTTAATTTTTTAAAATAGTAAACACTTAATAATCACTAAATCTCTCATATTTTAAAAAATACAGTGATACTAATCCACAAATGTCATTGAAAAATATAATCTAAACATAAACTATTTATTAACTTGTCCCCGACTGATAATAATAAAATAAAATCTAACTAATCTCTCTACCTCCAAAAAAAAAAAAAAGCAAAAAAAAACTAATGTTTTTGAACCGAAGAGTCAAGAGACTTCTTAGTTCTTACCTCTTATTTGATAAAAAAAAGAAAAAAAGTTCTTACTTCTTCATCGTCGTTGTCTTCTTCTACTCTGTACAGAGTCCATACCTACTCTTACCTTCATTCTACAGACAGAGATATCGGAAGAAGAAGAAACAAAATCGTGAAAAGAGATTGAAATTACTTAGAAGGATGCGTGAATAGATTTGTATAGGTTTATTCGACTGTGTGTAGCTCTCTCAGTTGTTCGTTTTGCTTAAAGTTGGGATCTCTGAGAAGAAACAAACAAGCTCGCGGTCTTTGTGATCCGACGCCGTTTTCGAACTTTTGATCCAGGTATCCATCTTCGTTCATGTGTGAATTGAGTTGTCTGCTTTAGTGTTCGTTTGAGGATTTAGGATCAGCTTTTTAAAGAGATTTAGATTTGGTTTCAGATGTGAAAATTGTGATCAAGCATCTGTGGAAACTATTGTCTTAGATGATTGTCCTGAAAGTAATGTGTGTGTTTTGTTCTTGGTACTGATTTGAATTTGTCAGTGTATATTCTTGTCCATGTTTGATTCTTCCATTTTTTTCTGTTGGATTAGTCTCCTCTTGTACTTATTATATCAGAGAAAAAGGTGAATCGTTGGTTTTTTTTATTTATTATTCTTCAGGACAGGAACATAACTTATAGATAAACTATTTGTCTTCAAGATTCTTGGTTGAGTTTCTCACTTATGATTTGATCCATATTTATGAATCATTCTTTCTGTTTCTTATGCTGGCCAGCTTGGGGAAACTTTGAAGGATAAACTAGATACACTTATCTTATTTTTAGATCTTGATCTGGTTTATTTTTTTAAAGTTGCATCTTGTACAGTTTCTCTTCTGTTCCCTTATGTGTTTGGTCTGTATGGATTTCTGATGTTCAAAATGTTCTTTTTCTTATTTGTACCTTTAGGTTTTGACTGGTTCTAGCTGAAGAAGCTTGTTTATACCTCCAGAGATGTGCTGTGGAGTACAGCGTATTTGAGATTGAGATTTTGCAGTATTCAATAAAGGTTTTTTTTTTTTTAAATGAGATGAAGGCAATTAAAGGGTGGCTTCTAGGCAGAACAAGCTATATGCAGTCTTTGCCTGGTGCTCGTCACCGTACTCCTTCAAAGAAACGAGTATGGATCATCGCAGTGGTTTCTCTGATAACAATGTTTGTAATTGGTGCTTACATGTTCCCTCATCACCGCAAAGCTGCTTGTTATATGCTTTCATCTAACGGATGCAAGGCGCTTACTGATTGGCTTCCACCCTCACCGAGGGAGTTTTCTGATGACGAGATTGCAGCTCGTGTAGTGATTAGTGAAATGTTGAGCTCCCCTCGTGTCATTAAAAAGACTTCGAAGATTGCCTTTATGTTCTTAACACCTGGTACTTTGCCATTGGAAAAGCTATGGGACCTCTTTTTCGAGGTAAACTTCATCAATGTTTTGCTTCTGGCTAAGAAGATAGGAAGTACAGTGAACTCTTTGTACTTTTGTTACCTCCTCACAGGGTCATGAGGGGAAATTCTCAGTGTATATACATGCATCAAAGGATACGCCGGTTCACACCAGTCGCTACTTTCTTAACCGTGAAATTCGAAGTGATGAGGTCTGTATCTGATATCATGTCATGACATCTCTCTAATTGGTTGTAAAAAGAAACATTATAGGTCTAGTGACTACGTGTAGTTGGTGTTGTGTCATGGTTCTGTAGTAACTTTCATGATTGTGGTAATAGAATTATATATGTTTTTTTTCTGAAGGTGGTGTGGGGTAGAATATCAATGATTGACGCAGAGAGACGTTTGTTGACCAATGCTCTTAGAGATCCTGAAAATCAGCAATTTGTTTTACTCTCTGATAGGTAATCTACCAGAATCTTTACTTCTCTTCTCACTGATTATTCCTAACCAGCTTGATTGTTTCCTGGTTTTTGCAGTTGTGTGCCACTTCGAAGTTTTGAATACATGTACAATTATATGATGTACAGCAATGTCAGCTATGTTGACTGGTAAACATATTTCTTCATGTTGATGAGATCTGAGAATCATAGTGCCAGATATCTTCCCAGCTTCGTTGTAATAATAATAAATGATTTTCTCTTACTCTTCAGCTTTGACGATCCTGGTCCACATGGAACTGGCAGGCATATGGATCACATGTTGCCGGAAATTCCAAAGGAAGATTTTCGAAAGGGTGCACAGGTAAAAACTATTTCGCTTATCTAGTGATCAAATGACAACAAAGAGAGTATTTTAACAAGTTTTCATGGCTTAGTGAACTCTATCTCTATATACGTGCAGTGGTTCTCAATGAAGCGTCAGCATGCTGTAATAACTGTGGCAGACAGTGTTTACTACTCAAAATTCCGGGACTACTGTCGGGTGAGTATGACCTAAGCCTAAAAATAGATGATGCTCCTGAATGAAGCGTCAGCATTGCTATTTTTGATCTATGAAAATGACCATACATTGATCCTAAGTCCTTGTTTTTTTTTTATTCAGCCAGGCGTAGAGAAGAACAAGAACTGCATAGCGGATGAACACTACTTGCCAACATTCTTCCATGTGAGAATCCATTTTTGACTCTATATCTGAAAGAAATTGTTTCACTTTCTCATACTGTCTTTATCCGTAGTTATACTTTGTATGATAAAATCTCAGATGCTTGATCCTGGTGGCATTGCTAACTGGACTGTAACATATGTTGATTGGTCTGAGAAAAAGTGGCATCCAAGAACATACATGCCCAACGATGTCACGCACGAGTTACTGAAGAACCTCACGGTATTGTCACTAAACTGCTAAAAATCTTCCTTTGGCTATTTCCTTTCTTGCTTCCATTGGGATAACTAATTGGTATACCTTTTGATCCATTCCTAGTCCATTGACGCGGTTTCACGGGTAACAAGTGAGGGAACGGTATACTCTTCAAAACAAATTCATCTCCACTTGTGACCAGTTGTAAATTTACCTTGACCGCCGAGATTTTATAATTCTCCCTTTTTATGTCTGCAAACACAGGGTGAAGTAACATGGACACCATGCATGTGGAACGGAATCAAAAGACCTTGCTATCTCTTTGGAAGGAAATTTCATGCAACTACCCTCCATAAACTGATCGACCTCTTTTCAAACTACACAAGCATGGCATAGACCTCAACGAGGCGTTTTGATTGACCCATGAAATGCAGAGCCAAGGAGGTATTCTCTTGACTCGGATTCTTTGACCAACCTCCCATTACATTCCGAGGAACCAAGTTTTAAACTTGAAGAACAGAATCCCTAGAAGATGTAACTCGCTGCAAAGTCCTTTTAGGAGCAGAGACAATCGTTGTAATCTTGGGAATCATAGGTAGTCCTTGGTGTATCTCATATGGTTGGGGTCGTTGGGACATTTTTAACTCAGCTGTTTTTTCACTACATGTCATTGTTATTTATACAAATATTAGCAGATTGCTTTCTGTTTTATACAATTTAAAAAGTTTAGCATCTGATAAAACCTCACTGAAACTCCAACAGGTGGAGATTTATATAAAAAACTAATCATACAAATTGCTATTAAGCATTCTCCTTTTCTCAGACAGAATTCTCTAGAGCTACATTCTTATTACTGCATATTACAAAAAATATTACAACACAACATTTGTTCAGTGCCGATGTCCCAGAGCCACCACAGGAATCCTCACTTTATGGCCACGGCTACCTTTTAGTTTTACCTCTCCGAAGCTGTACACTCCAGAAACTGATCTCACGGTCAGTGTAACAGAGAAACTTCTAGAAGCGCCAGGTCTTAGAGTCATGGCTGGTGGGTTCACTTCAATGGCAATAGAAGGCTGCATCCTAGCTGTTATTGTGTATGTTTCTTCTACTTCTGCCACGTTGGTCACTCTCCTTGTTACGGTTTGAGTCCCCACAAGGTGAGAAATAGCTATAGATGCTGCATTGAAGTTTGAAGGATGTCTCATATCATAGTTGCAGGGTGTGTTAGTGTAGTTTCTTATTTCGTGGGCATCGATCCCCGGGGTTGTGCACAAGAATCCTAGATAGTCCTCATAACCTACACGCGAAAACAATCAGTCTTATTGACCAAAGAGATCAAAGATCTTTGTACATCATTGATGAAAAAACAGAGAAACAATACCTGCATCAAAGACAAGACCAGGATCTAGAGCAGCATGTGGATTGACATGGCCACTTCCGTAATCAAAAGGAGTTGCTTTAACAAGCGTTACAGCTTCTGTGTCTGAATATTGCTGTGCCTGGAGAAGCCTTCCTGCTCTATCTAAGACTGTTGAGGTTGTCATCAAAGCTGATTTGATAGCAGCTGGACTCCATTGAGGATACTTCTGCTTCACCAGTGCAGCTATCCCGGCTATGTGTGGGGCAGCCATGCTTGTTCCTGATATTAGCGCAAATCCTTCGCCTGCTCAAGACCCCTAAAGTAAGAAACTTCAAAAGAACCTCCACATGTTAGTTTCAGTACTTTGAATGCTACTTACCAACATAATTAGGCTCGTCTGTTCCATTAGGACACCAAGCAGCCCATATTAGATAACCAGGTGCAAGAATATCCGGTTTAAGAAGATCAGCATCTTGAAAGCTGAAATCTTTGGTGTTAGGTCCTCTAGCTGAGAACAATGCCACTTGAGGTGCTGATTTGTGGAAAACAGGTGCTAAACCATCTCCAATGCTTCCCTCAGCGTTAAAGCTTTTTACACGACCAGTCCAGTCTCTTGTTGTACTGACATTGTAGTAATCGATCAAATCCTAAAGATGCAAAAGACAGCGTTTCAGGTTGACAAAAGTAGGCTGAGAGTAAGTGTAAACAATGAAGCTCTCATTACCATTGACTTAGACACATCTGTAATCAGGATTCCTGGAACAGCAGAAGGAACAGGATCGAATTTTGTTCCTGGAGAAACATTTTCAACAACAAGAACAAAACCAGCAGCTCCTAGATGCTTCACTGTTGCAACAACTTTCTTGATGGAAGCTGTACCAACAACGAAGTTGAAAGAGTATCCACAGAGAAGAATCTTTCCTTCAACAAGTTTCTTGTTAAAGACTTCTGGTCTTTGGCAATCAGATGGGTTATACTTGGACACAGATGAATCCAGCAGAACATCATTTGCAGAGACCAGCGTGTACAACCGATGAGGCCGAGTTGATGCTGCAGAAGAATACATAAACAATTCATCAAAACAGAAATTTGTTATACGCTAAATGTAACATAACTTTGTTTTTTCTTACGTGATAATCCCATCCCAGCCAGCATTTTTCCATTTCCAAGGGTGAGATGGTTTTTGTATCTGCGATCATCAATGGCAGCTGCGACAGTAGTTATCCAAGGGCTATATGAAACCAAAGTTTTTGGAAATGGGCCTCCGTTTCCAGCAGCTTGAGCAACGAACACACCAGCTTTCACAGCTCCGAGAAGTGTAGCATCAAATGGATTCAAGAACGTTGTCTTGGTAGTTGTTGGTGGACTGTTGGGGCCAACAGAGAGACTCAGGATATCTACTCCATCATGAACAGCCTGCTCATGAAAATCTTTTATTAATATTAACTAAGGCATTGTTTATGAATTAGAAGGTTATTTGACTTGTGTTGCTGAATGAATTTCACTAAGCTGAGATATGTTCCATGATACCATGTGATCAAAACTTTCTAAATTGTGATTAGTACTTTATCTTACCTGATCAATTGCAGCAACAACATCAGCCACAAAGCCTCCAAAAAGCCGGTAAAGAGCCTTGTAAACAGCAATCCTGAAAGACATTAGCCTTTTAGCTTATGAAGGAGAACAAAACAACCTTTCATTAAAACTGCCCTTTGCACTAACTATCTATCTACCTTGCACGTGGAGCCATCCCACTTGCTCTTCCGAATTCATAACCGTGCATTCTCAACGGAATACCATTATTCCCAGCTGCAATAGCTGCTGTATGACTGAAAATCCAGCAATACAATAAGAAGAAAGAAAGGATCAGATTTGCTTAGAAAAGGCTTCTAAGTTCAATATTAGAGACTATAAGAACATAGAGACGAACCTTCCATGCCCATCACCATCCATTGGCGATGCATAATCTATATTTGGGTTAAATGCCCCAGCCGCTTTAGCAGCTTCAGCGAAATGTTGGGCTCCAACAATCTTCCTGTTGCAGAAGCTCTTCTTGGTATGAGGATCTTCTTCACATTTCCCTTTGTAATGGTGAAGAGGGCCATAAGGTAATCTATGGTGAGAGGCAAAACTGGGGTGATGCGGATAAATCCCAGAGTCAACAAAACCAATAACAATATCTTCTCCTGCTCTTTCAAAACCACCACCTGTTGGCCAAACATCCGTTGGAAGTCCCAGAAACTCTGGTGTATGTGTGGTGAGTCTCCTCACTTTCCAGTCTTTGTTTATAGATTTGACACCGGGCGTGCGACGTAGTGTTTCTGCCTACCAAACATAGTGGAATAGTGTAAGAGAACACCAACAGAGAAATTGGTAGAATGATCTCATTTCGTTTACCTGCTCAGGAGAAACATGAACTGCAAATCCATTTATAAGGTGTTTATAGCTGTAAAGCTTTTTGTATGACCCTTCCTCAAAGAGCATTCCAAGGATCATATCGTGTTTCCTCTCTAAGTGACGACCATAAGATGTCACCAATTCACTGTAAAAGTAACAGAGCAATCAATTCCTAAACAGTTCTTTAATTATGCTAGTACTATTGCAAATGAAAGAGGATAAACATCTATTTAAGTACCTTGATGTATCAATCTTCTCATCAGATTCGACAACAGTTGCTTCATAACCATTTTCTCCACCTTGGTAACTTATGATTGGATCTCCTTCCATAGTCACAATGTAAACATCTGCTGTCACAGTAACGAGAAGGGCCGAGAGGACAAAGCTTATCAACCAGGTATCCATATCGATTCCCCCCAAATAATAAGCTCCGACTTTATTTTGCTGTAGATTCAACTGCAGAACCAAAATCAAATGAATGCATTAGCATACTGAGACCAATAACATTATCAATGGAAACTATCACTTCACGCCAATCATCAAAAAGAATGTCATTAATCATCTCAGAGAGATAGTCTAGAAGGACCAAGCTTTCACAAATATAATCAAACAACTGACACAAGAATCATCTCAAGAACATCAAAACTGAAAATCCAGTGAAAAAATGTACCTAAAACCACCAAACAAAAAAACAAGGAAAAAGATTCATCTTTCTCACTGTTTTACTTATCAGAGAACCAAACACATAAAGTGCAGTACAACTAACCCAAAGAAAAGAACATCAAATCTAAACTACAGCTTGAAGACAAAGAACCTACCAGAAAAATTTGCCTAAACACAATAATCAAAGTAAAGAAAGTTCAGCTCCACCATATGCCATTTATATAATAAGAGAAGAAAAAGCTAGAAACCGAAAAACAGTAAGTACACTATAACAACTATTGCTATTCAATTAATGAGACAAACAAAGAAGAGGAAGAAAAAGAAGAAAGAATCTTTAGCCTCTTATTAAGCCTACATTTTCTGTAAAAAAAATAAAATTAGCAAATCAAAATATCAAGACTAAGTAAGAATAACCCACTTTCACAAACCATTCAAGCAAAGTATAAACATCAATAAAACCCAGACGAAATAGAAAATAAAGTGTCTACCTTTATCCTTATAAACTGTAGCTTGAACAGAGTAAAATCCAAAAAAGGCAATAATGTGTACGAACTTACATTTGCTTCACGAG